TTCTCTCTCTCTCTCTCTCTCTCTCTCTCTCTCGCTCCCCGATTATCTCAGCAAACTCTGGAACACTCAGAAACAAGTGCAGGCTCAAACACTAACAAACCGATAAGATCTTTCTTGGTGAAGTGAGGGAAATTCTTGTAAAGTATCTTTCCGTATGACACAACGGCGGTATTCCAACCCATGAACTCACAACTCACTGTGTTGCAAGTCCTGAGAACCTAACCTCTAGACAACTGACGCCACTTTGTTTTAGTATTTAGTAAGCGTCTAACGGCACATGCAACACAATAAAGCCAAATGAAAGCGGGGATAAGGTGTTGGAAGAGAGTAAAGGTGTAGACAGAGTTGAGTCAGCTTTCTGGAACTAACGTGCTAACACAGTGGATTTAACATTCCGTATTGTTGTTGCTTTTTCCGTTTTTGAAATTGATTGAACTCGTATTCCTGAAATTTTAAAGAATATCGGCTCATTGTGAAACTAGCTATTTGCAGAAAAACAGTGTATACTTAAAAATGTGACAGAGTATAGTAGATCTACCAGTGAGGCCAACTCTTTGACAGAACATGACAATTATAATTTTTTTTAATTTCACATTTGACTGTTTTTGTCTAGCCTTTCGTGGCCATGAGGCGGTGTCATAAAATCGAGGTCACGATCTGATTATAGGACGGTAAAAAGTCGAGGAAAAAAACAAGCACTTGCAGCAGTCAATAGAGATTATTAGGAGTTTGTAGAATCGACCAGTGTAATAGTTAGCTTACATAATCAGAGTTTACGACTACTTATAACTGTGGCCCCAAAGGGGTGAACAGGGTATTTGTCGCAATGAAACAGTTTTGACTGCTATGCACCATGTTCCCTTCAACTTTATTGGTAGACTCTTCCTGCCTCACTTTAAGCTTACTTAATCAAAGCTTGTGACTGCTTAAAGAGTGGCCGGAGAGGGGTGAGCAGGCTATTTCTGTGGCAGTGAAACCTTTTTTAATATTAGGCATACTGTTCATTGGTGATTATGAACGTCTTTTTACATTTAATTTATGAGGTCAAAGTTTATGGGTGAATTTGA